ACAAAGTGAGTAATAAAGTAAATTTTTTAGTATTTTATTTTCTTATATTATTATAACAGTTAAGAATCTTTTATACTTTTAAACTATGAAACGCCTTCTTATACCATAATTCATTTTTAATATTGTAGAGTCAATCAACATAGTCACCTAGTTCGAGTTTACTTTGAAAGTTGAAATCTCCACTCTAATGTCATTGCTCTAAATCATTTTCTTTTGAATGTGATGGTTACTTCCAACAACTCTATAACCTAAACTTTTCCAGCTCCTGGATGATGACAAGGAGTTATAAACTGTTACAATAGTTACTATGAATACCATCAACGTCACAGAAGTTACACTCAATCCATTAATATATCATAAAATGTCTGTTAAAAATTCCTTTTCTGATATAATAATTAGATTCCAAAGTTTTCAGAATTTTGGATGGAAATAACCTTTAGGATTAACACATACACAGAATCTTTGTCTTTGTGATGAATTTTATATCCAAGAATAAAGGAAAATTCCTTTGAAATATTGAGACTGATGCCTCTTGTTTCTCAGCCAGAAAAGTGTTGGGTTCCCTGGTTGGAATCACGTTATGCATATGATAAACAAAAAATAATAAAAGGAGTTGACATCACCATCAATTATTCCAATGTTAGTCAATGCAATAGGACATTGTTGGAATGATAAAGTGTCAATCCAGAAGAAAGATCATTTTCATGGTCCTCAATCCCCGTTTCTATCTCAATAGGTACAAAGATTCCAAGATCAATGATGAAGCCAAAAGCTGAGACTGAGCCCACCATAGAGTAAATGCTGGCAGTGGTGGTGGAGCAGGTTTTCTTAGTGGGTTTGTTTCTTTGACATCTATATACACTATTGCATACACCATCCAAAATCTACTAAGCCAAACTATCACTCAAACAGTGCTATTTTCATAATCTCATTCTTGCTTTCTCTCCCTCATGGCTCTTGTTTGGAATTTAGTCATCACTTTCGTAATTCTTGTTCTTCAACAACAATCTTGGATCCTTGTCGCCTTTGCCTCAAGCATTGTAAACTCTGTTCCTCTTCTTTTCTACCTATACCATGTTTTGATTTTTCCTACTTATTTGGTTCTCTTTCTTGTTCCTGGCTTCTGCAGGTCCATATTGTGTATATGGGCGACAACAGAATAAAGCAGAGTGAGCAACACTTGGTTGAAGACTCCCACCTTGACATGCTATCTAGTATTCTCGGAAGGTCAATTTCCCGTTAATTCCTGCCTATTTTGATGCATATAAGATGTTTGGAATTTTGAACATGAGCAAACCTACTTTGCTTACTGTTGGACTGAAGAGATGAAACATCTTTTAAGAAATAAAATTCAGAATCTGATATCTTCCTTTTTATTTTAACAGCAAAGACGCTGCTAGGAAGTCCATCCTGTATAGCTATAGTCATGGCTTTTCTGGATTCGCTGCAGTTTTAAGTCAGCCCCAAGCTAGGCTCATTGCAGGTAATTTCAAGTTCAGTCTATATCCAAAGTATGGATATGTGAAAGCATTGAAAAATACTTTCTACAAAAATAAATAAATAGGATCAAAATGAAGGTGTACATTTTGTTGTTTAACCATTATTATCCTTTAAAGGAGACTTGATTAGAAGAGATGAGAACCTTTGTACTCACTCAGTAAAAAGGGGAAGTGGTCCCCAGATGCGTGACACACAGTACCCACCAAAGCTAGCAATAGTCATGGACTATTCCATCATGCAGGATTTTTTAGATCTTAGTCAAATTAAGGAAATCATGCAGAAAGATTGAAGAAAAGTCATTATGGAAAAGTATCAATTCTGACAATTGCAGAAACTACAATCTCTCTTGTTAGCAGAATGAATGTCAAAATCATGCTTGTAAAATAATACATGTTGGGAAGTAAATACAGAGGTTGTGGCTCCGAGTCAAATTGATTGCACTTGTATATGATGAGTGAATGTGGTAGAAATTTGGGTACTAGGGGATTTGTATATGATGAGTTCTTGGTGGAGTATTTGAATGTTTTGTTTTCCTAGAATGAGAACTTTATCACATTTCAATCAAAGCTCTCCCAAGCAAGTAGTAATAACTTTCTCTCCTTGTCTGCATTATTTACATGCAGATTTCCCAGGGGTCGTCCGTGTAATTCCAAATAAAATTCTCAGTCTTCACACAACAAGAAGTTGGGACTTTTTGAACGTAAAGCAAGAAATAATAACCGGTGCTCTTTCTAGGGGTCAATCTGGAAGAGGAACCATCATCGGCATCATGGACACTGGTTAGTTTGGAATTGCTGCACGCTGTGCATGTTAACATCATAAAAAGAGATTGTGATTACTTAATTGATTCTTTACTCTTCAGGTATTTGGCCAGAGTCTGAGAGCTTTAGAGATGAGCACATGGACAATCCTCCTTTTCACTGGCGTGGTATCTGCCAAGGAGGAGAAAGTTTTGATCACTCCAGTTGTAATAGGTTCATTAAAAATTATTTCTAGCCATGTAATTTTCTTTAGATATTCAAGTTACAACCACCGATGAACATTGGTACTAAATAAGTTCCAAAACTTAACTTTTCCTAATTTATCAATGTGTTTTATCTTTTGATGTCGCGGATAGGTCTCTCTATACAGTAGGATGTCCATAATTTGTTAAGGGGTTACTAGGAGTTAATTTAAATATTAGGTATTGATGAATTTGTCAGAGTTACCTGATATATCTATTTGGCAAAAGTATGTTATTTTAGGGGTATTTGAAAAGGTAAGAATCTCAAACTGCTTAATTATAGTTTGTTCTCGTATCTCTCATATCACATGTTTTTAAGACTTTCAAACTGACATGTAAGGTCCAGTAAATTTACATTTATGTTTTCTACTTTAAACATTTTGGTGGAAAATGTAACCTTAAATGGTATCTTTTCATATGATGGCAGGAAAATTATTGGTGCACGTTGGTACATTAAAGGATACGAAGCTGAAATTGGTAAACTAAATACAAGCGATGGGGTGGAGTACTTGTCTCCTCGAGATGCAGCAGGCCATGGCACTCACACATCATCTACTGCAGCTGGTGTTGCAGTGGAAAATGCAAGCTTTATGGGACTAGCTAAAGGGTTGGCAGGTGGGCTCCATCAGCTTGGTTAGCTGTGTACAAAATTTGTTGGTCTACTGGGGGATGCAGCTCTGCTGATATTCTTGCAGCTTTTGATGATGCAATATTTGATGGGGTTGACATTCTTTCAGCATCTCTTGGCTCAGATCCTCCACTTCCTACTTATGTTGAGGATGCACTGGCCATTGGTTCTTTTCATGCTGTTGCTAAAGGAATTTCTGTGGTATGTTCTGGTGGCAATTCTGGTCCATATTCCCAAACTGTCATAAACACTGCACCTTGGATTATTACTGTTGCAGCTAGTACCATAGACAGAGAATTTCCATCTAGGATTATCCTCGGAAACAATCAAACTCTAAAGGTACTTCATCTTTCTTGTTATGATGTTTCACCACAAAATTCTTCAAACACTTAATAAATGAAATCGATTATTTTTATATTCAAACGAGGACCAGGAATTAATTATTTATTGAGATGAGCCTAGCTTAGGATTTTCAGATGACAGTAACGAATCTTCATCGCCTTATGAATATAAGATTGCATGTTAATTATGAAGCAAGTTACATTCATTCCCATATTTCTGGAAGTCCTCTGTTCAACTAAAGCCTCCATTTTGGTCCAAATATTATAAAGATTGTAAGCGTTAGTTACTTGACTTACTTTAGTCATGGAGTTTATAGAAATTTCATTTTAGTCTCTGACTTTGTAAAACATTATAAAATATCATTCGCTTAATTCCTTTCCCCTATACTATGACTCAATATAATAAAGAAAAAAGTGGGGGTTTACTACCTTATTGAGATTCCACAAGTAAAGTTTGTTAGACTGGAGAATGGTCTATTAAACAAGCATGTACTCTTAGATTAAACCTGACTATCAGTTTCAGGTGATTTAATTTTGTAGGTAGATTCAAAACATTGACCAAAATAATTGCAATTAAAAGTAAATTTGTAAAGCCCAAAAGGGGTATTTTATAGATGCAAATCTAGACCTTAAACCGAGAAAATAGACGCAAAATGTATGTTAATAATTTGCATCCTTGATAGATTAACCGTTTGCAGTGCAGAACACAGTACTATACTTTATTTCCTCATATAGGGTCAGAGTTTATATACAGGGAAAGATTTGAGCAAGTTTTATCCAATTGTTTTGGGAGAAGACATAGCATCATCGGATGCAGATGAAGAAAGCGCAAGGTAAATTTACTTGTTCTTACTTGCTTGGTATCTGCGTGAAACTGTCGTGACTGTGACTGTGACTGTGAAGGTAGTATACCAGTGCATATCTGTTGATTTTTGTTCAGGGGCTGCAATTCAGGGAGCCTGAATGCCACCTTAGCAAAAGGAAAAGCAATTCTGTGTTTTCAGTCTCGGTCACAGCGGTCAGCCACAGTTGCTATAAGAACAGTTACGGAAGCTGGTGGCTCTGGTCTCATATTTGCTCAGTTTCCCACTAAAGATGTTGATACATCATGGAGTACACCCTTTGTCCAAGTTGATTTTATCACGGGAACAACTATTCTATCATACATAGAAGCAACTAGGTGAGTACTCTGTAAGTGCAACATGACAAAATCTATTTTTTTTTTGGAATATCTTGTAATGAATGCATGTATATTGTAGGAATCCTGTAGTAAAGTTTGGCAAAACAAAAACAGTTGTTGGCCAACAGATATCACCAGAAGTGGCATTCTTCTCTTCGCGAGGACCAAGTTCTTTGTCTCCTTCAGTATTGAAGGTTCTGATCATTCCTCTGTGAATGTCATAAATAGCTATTTTTCTTGTGAAAAGGCACAGTTTTATGTTTATGATGAATGTGGTGCAGCCTGACATTGCTGCTCCTGGGGTTAATATTCTTGCGGCCTGGTCACCTGCTTCTTCTGCTGGGCGTTTGTTATATGATGCAAAATCAAAAAAGTTGCAGCCCCTTACCTTCAACTTTGAGTCAGGAACTTCCATGGCATGCCCTCACATTTCTGGTATTGTTGCACTTATAAAAACTGTCCATCCAACTTGGAGCCCCGCTGCAATTAAATCTGCCCTTGTCACAACAGGTAAAATGCTCTTGTTATTTGACAACTGGTTTAAGATTGAAGACAACATTTTTCATGCAGTTTTTTAATTGCTTCCAATGCTGTTTTCTGGTCATGAAAGTTTTACCTGGAAAATTATAATTAATTAAAACAACCCTAAATGTCAAGAATAACTCTTTAATTTTGTTCTTTACTTGCTCATCTCACTACATTGTCTCTGCTCACAGTTCAATATCATACTGGTATGTTTTTTCACACACATACACACTTTATCACCGATATCAAAGACCCTAATTTCGTGTGTTTTTTTCTGAAGCTTCTCTGAAAAAAGAATACGATCAATACATTTGGGCCGAGGGAGCACCACATAAACAAGCTGATCCATTTGACTACGGTGGTGGACATGTTGATCCTAACAAAGTGACAGATCCTGGTCTGGTATACGACATGAAAACCTCAGACTACATTCATTTCCTTTGTTCTATGGACTACAACGACACTGCCGTAAGCTCTTTAACAGGATCTCCTACCAAATGCCATAAATCACACAAATACCTCTTAAACATGAACCTCCCTTCTATCGTTATTCCTGAGCTGAAGCAACCCCTCACAGTTTCAAGAACAGTCACAAATGTTGGCCCAGTAAAATCTATCTACACCGCTCGTGTTGAACCTCCAATCGGCGTATCTGTCACAGTTGTGCCATCAACCTTGACATTTGGTCCAAAAAGAAAGAAAATGAAATTCAAGGTAACCTTTTCTTCCAAGCTACGAATTCAAAGCAGATTCTCATTTGGCTACCTCTTCTGGGAAGATGGGTTACATGATGTCAGAATGCCATTAGCAGTTCGCTCTGTTGTACAAGAATTTTGAGCACAAACTTAATACTGCAATTACTAACACTGTCACAAAATGGTAACAATCATGTGCCATTGTGTTTTCTTGTATGTAGTATTAATAATGGTTCACTTGCGTGGAATCATAGCCAATATTCACATTTTAAAAATAGACACGCCGTTTGTTTCATATACAACAATCGAATTCTGTGTCATAATCTGTAATAATTGCTGTTCCAATTGTGAAATTTCAAAAACTATAAATTAATGACCAAATCAATATAACATCTGTAAATATTTCCTCAAATATACATTTTTATACGAAAATTTAGAAGTAAAGGTGTTAAAAATTAATTGTCACATTTCCTTATAAAATATATTTCTTTGTTTCTTATTCTTCTAAAAATTGAAATCTCTTGTGGATACCATTTTGAATAATTGCTGGATTTTCCATATAATACATAAGTAAAAGTCACATTTAAAATTATTTTATTAAAATAAAATTGTTGGAAAGTATCCAGCTATAATTATGAAAATATGATTATAATTTCAAGTGAATTGGTAGCACGTTTTTATTTCTTGTAGTGTTCCTTGATGGCTAGTGTAGCGTCGGCGGAATTTTGAATTAGTGAGTTACACGTGAAATAATTAGATAATTCGAACCGAGAAAATTACTCACACCACACACCACCATTTCGAAAAAAACCAAATATACAACAAAATTAGATAAATATGATACTTTTTTTATGAAATTAGAAAATTGTTTTCATATATCCCAAAGTGTCCAACACGTGTTTTAAAAAGGAAATTATGACGAATTTTAACTTCCAATACGAATAATTAATAATCACATTTGTTTATAAATTTTAAAGTACAAAATAGATAAATAGATAATACCTTGAATAGGCTACTCCATAACGCTCGGTATTAAAAACAAATTGCACTATTTATAGAAAGATGTTTAATTATTAAAAAAACAAGGATTTAACCAAAAAAATATCAGAGAGAGAGAGTGTGTGTGTTTGTGAGTGAAGAGGTGTTGTATAAAAAATTAAAATAAAGAAAATTTGTATTCGATTATGTACTGTTTAAAAGTTGTATTTAACTTATAATCTGATATTAGATCATATATTTTCTTACTCGCAAGTTGCATATTGTTATAAATGAAGTAAGTTAAGATACACAGTGAGTAAAAATAAATTACATCAGTTTTTATTTGCAATGGGGTTAAAAATAATATTTGATGAATGTTATATTGTTTTTCACTGTTTAATATAAGGGTATTTAGGAAAAAAATATTTTTATTTGTTAAAAAAATATAATTTCCAACTTTGAAATATGTATGATTAGTTGTAAAATAAAATAATTTTCAAAAATTGAAAATATCAAAGGGAATAAAAGATATACACTATAACAGTGAAAGTTAATAAAATAATAATGCATGAAAAAAAGTTTAAAAATTGTATGATAATTTAATGAAAGAAAGTTAATATTACACGTATTGATAAGATAATTGGTCAGTCAAATGGTTAGACTCGTGTATATTTCATGTATCATAATAGTATTAATTACTGATAAACAAAACTTATAAATTAACTAATGCTTACAATGTCAATTTTATAAAATTGTATATTCTTTAATACATTAATTAGTTATTCACATATAATTTAAGATAATTAATTTATGGACGGAGTAATGCATAACCGTTCAATAATTTTATTCATTATGTTTCTTTATCATTTAGACGTGTGTTTTTTTTTTTTACACGGGGTGGTTTAAGATTTCCCTGTATTTTTTTTATTATTATAGACGAAGAATTTTATATACTATTCTGTATTAAGGAATGTAATTAATATTTTGAATTTCACAAAAAAATTACTTATTTTCTTTAATTAACTAATAACTGTACTTTTTAGTTTTTAACGTATCTAGTTCAATAAGTATATTAAACACTATGATCTAATAAAATTAATTTTGACCTAAAAATGGTTAAATAATATTTTAAAATATATATTTGTTTGTACATGTATTTATATATTAAACATATATATAAATAAATTTTGATAAGATGTCAATTATTTTTAAACTGAAATATTATTTGACTTGGAAATTGTCAATAATTTTTTTTAAAACTTTGTTATCGACGCATTGATGAATATCAATATTCTTCATTAGTCATTTCTGAAAGGAAAAAAAAATATTTGAATAATTTTGTACATCAATTTTTAAATAATATAAAAAAATTAGGTGTTGTGGAAATACCATATATACTATCGGGAAATATAAGTAAAGGTAGTCTTTTAAAACGTCTAACTAAAAAGTACGATAATTTGTAAAAGACATAATTTAGAGCAACTTTTTTTTCTCTAAAGAGGTTCATCATCAGCCGCGTTATGATAATGGTTTTTACGAGTTTACTCTTATGTGATGGTATTAGGATATTAAATACAAGTGGCAAACTGTGTTGAATTGATGGGATGTGACCACTGTAGTAGGAACTCCGCCCGCCGGAAAGGGGGAGGGGAAGGAAGAGGCAGCGGACAGGGGAGGACAACGGCGAGGCGAAATAATAAACCAACATTACTCCTTTCTTTTACACTTTTGTTTCTTTTTTACATTTCGTTTTTGCTTTAGGGTTACTTTGTTCTATTAGATACGAGTGAAATGTTGATAGGCGATTTGAAGTGATTTGGATGAAAAAACGAATTAGAAAAGATAAATTTTGATTTACTAAAAAAGATAATTAATTTAAGTAAAAATTTCAATAATATATCATTAAACTTAAATAGAAGAGTAAAACAAAACAAAAAAACAACTCAAATTAAACCGAATCAAGTTGAATTAAAATGAGTTGTTAAAAGGTGGATTTTAAATATAACTGAAGTATATTTATATCGAACGTGAGACTACGTATTAATGAGTGGTCAGATAACGGTTCGATAACGGGTGAAACAATATGTCCAACAAACAACAAATATCGCTAGAATATGTTCTAACCTGACTTTGATATCATATTAAGAAGTGAACTTTAAGTCTAACTCAACTCACAAAACCAGTTTGTAAGGTGAGATCTACACTCACTTATGTATTATAAACTGATCTTATCTCTAGTCGATGTAGAACTTCAACATCACCATGAAAGCATATCCTGTCTGTATAGTACAACAAACTCTTGGTTGAAACAACTCAATGTCCATCACCATGACTTCAACTTCTTAAAAAAATATTATAACCTAGACTATACTAGACTTAAGAGGAAAATAAATATGAGTTTAGTATAATCTCACACTTCAGAATAAAAAAAAGATAATCTCAATTTTAATATACTTCGCATTTCATCAATATGATTTTCCTTTTTTTAGTGACTTAATGTTGCAAGATTGATTTTGTGTTGGAACAGTGATGAAGACCAAAATGCAAGAAATTTGATTAAGAGTCATAGCTCTAAAATTATGTTAAGAGACTCTGGACAAGTTAAGAGAGATACAACAAGCATCCAAAGAAACTTGATATGTTTTGGCTTTATGTTACTTTTAAAATATTAATTTTGTTTGGTTAAAAAAATTGGTTGAAAAAATAAAATAAATTATTATTTTTAGATATTAATAATTTTAAAACATTACTTGTTAATCATCAAGAATAACTATAAAAAGGTAGAAAATTATTAATAAATATAATTATTTTTAAAAAATATAAACTATTAAATATAGAGTCAACTAGTAATCAACAAATAATTCCACAAGTCTATAGATGTTCCTTATATCCAGCTTATTTTCTTTTTCAAAACGTTTTTATCAAATATCAGAGATCACTTAAACTAAACAGACACAATTTTTACATATCATATTATAACTAAACCAATTCTCACCTACAGATATAAATAAGCCATGCCAGAAATGTAATAACGAATTTCCATGTGCAAAATAAATTACCTGGTCCCTACTTCAATCTGTGAAATTTTTAAAACAAATAATAATCGTGAAATTTAATGTATGTCTGAATATAAAACAAAAGTAATATATTTTTTATAGATTAATAATTTAATTTCTGTAATTTGAACAATTAATTTCGGTCCCTACGTGGCATGATTGGAGAATTAGAAACGAAAAATGGCGGGAAAAAATAATCCAGAACTTGGCACATCACGAGGCGCGTTAACGCGTGAGCAAGTTTTTGATATCTCCTTTATGTGTTGGTTATTTCGCTGTGTTTCCCTTTACGCTCATTTACATATTTCTTTCAAATTTGAACACTCAAAAGTGTTCAAACGCACCCACAAGGTTTATTCATCATGGTATCTTTTGTTTTCGAAAACTTTCAGCGCCAAATTCTGATTAATTTCATCATTTCAATTCACTCCACACACATAGTCAAACCCACGCTTCATTCATACCCTGCAATGCAATTTGCAAAAATTAATAAAAGTAATAGTCAAAACCGGCATGTGACCTTAACGTTTTGTTCGGTTTTGTTTTGTTTGTAACGTAGAATTGGACCGGGCCAGCCAGTTTCTAGAGATTAGAATTGTAGCATAGTTTTCGAATTTTCACAAAGCCCTAATAAAATATAAAAAAATAAATAAATGAAAGAGACCAATAATAGTCAAGCCCCACCACCTGACCAAATGTCACGCCCTGAGTGCAGAAGTGCATGACCCTCGAGGAAAATTTAGTAGTGCCATATTTAAATAAAAAAAATGCTACTACTCACTTATTATAAGAGACCAAAACAAAAACAAAGAGAGATAAAGATAAACCAATACCTCAGACGCCTGTTTCGCCAAACCAAAGGAAACTCCACTGCACTTTCCTTCCCCTCTCTCTTTTCTCTAAGCAGGTAAAAATTTATTAAATTTATTAAACATGTTAAATCTTCAACAACGTTCGTGTTTGCCACAAAAAACATTAATCTAGGACCTGAGATTATATTCTGTCGTCACAATAATAGCTTTGAGGTCTGTAGGAACCAGAAAAAATGGAAGTTGCGGCGGCCGAAGCGCTGAAAACGAGCTTGCGGACAGAGTTCATCTTCCCGCAAGCAATCTGCGACGAGATTTTTTGTTTCAACGCCAACAACATTGTAGTCGGCGAAGATTTCTCCGTCGACGACCTTCTTGACTTTTCCAACGGCGA